TCTTTTTCCTTATATAAACCCTCATCTACCTTTGTCTAAGTATCCCAATCACTTTTATTTCATCCTTCATTGCTTTATATCTTTCTCTATCAATCTTGTACAAAAATCAATACTTTTGAGAGAATAGAAAACATTTTTGAGTGAAAATACTTTGTCATTCATTAGAGCTTAAATCTTTAAACTGTGACTTGCTCAATTTGTGACTTGCTCTGTAACACCCCAACTCGAATAACCCAATTACCTAGATTATTTGAGCCGGAGTAGTTACCGTGATGGTAAATAGCATGATAATTTGAGGAATAATTTAAAACCATTTAAAACTTTAATATAAATGATAATTCCAATTATTAAATTCAGAGTATTTGTTGAAACAGTACGGAAGCTTAAATATAAAATATATTCAAGTCATATTACATTTTTCTGGGAATTCGCCCGAAAAGGTGTTTATTAAAAATAAAGCATAGTAAATTGTGGTCCACCAGTCCGTACATCTCGTCACTTTCATTGACCTTCGGGATGGGCTCCATGTTCAATATTGTTACCTGCGTGTAGCAAGTAAAAACAAACTACACGCTCAGCGTCAGCTGAGGAATACGCTAATACAACAATTCCAAGTTGAATAGCAAGTAGACATACAATTATTCATGATGTGACATAATATAGCATGTATGTTCAAGACAATGATAATGATACGTAATTGTTGTCATACAAAATCATGATGATTGTACTTGATGATGAATTCATGCTATATGATTCGAAGTCAACAAGCTTGCATTATGAAATTCGCCCATTTGGTACGACGAACTCAGCGGCCTTAGTCTCACGAGGGAGACTAGAAAAATAAGGGTGGTACTCGAAAGCCTGAATACCATGTACGTACACTAAGCCCGGTCAGTGATGTCGGACTGCTAAGTCCCGCACATCACGCTATAAGAGACACAATTACGCATGATCTCTTACGCATGCATATGATATGATATGCTACAATATGTGTGATGATATGAGTCATATGATATGAATAATTTGCAAACAATACGAAAGGATAAATATACTTTATTTATTTGGGTGCAATCTGACAAAAATATCATTTAATTAAGCTACGGGGCTTGGAACGGTCGACCGTTTGGCGCGACGGTCGACCTCGACCTTCATTACGTCGGGCTGGCGAAAAACCGTGATGGTCGACCGCGGTTGACCGGCGGTCGACCGTTGTTGACTGGAAGTGGACGGCGGCACTTGGCTGGACAGGCGACGGTCGACCGTTGGCCACCGGCGGTTGACCGTTGGTCTGACAGTCTTGCTCCGTTTCGATTTTTAACGCGACGGTTGACCGTCTACGTCGACCGTTCGGGTCTGCGAATCCTATTTTTGATATTTTTGGATATCTAAAATACTTCTTTGAGTTATTTTAACACTTATGATTAACATGTCTATGTATTTGAAGTATTCTTAACACTTATATTTTCATTTAAAGTAAAGTATCAAGAAAAACATATTTTTACTTTATGAATTCAATGAGTTTGATCTTAAAGCATAAATGACTTATAATATGGCAATCAATTCTAACGATATATCTAGATTGATATTCAACCAAGGATTGTGTTACTAGGGTGCAATGTACTCGCCTTGATATCGTAGAGGTCGGAAAGATAGAAAGATAATAATACGCCTCAACGAACGTTCAACGTACGGTCGCCCCTATCAACTTCGAGCTTCCTACGCCCAATCTTCTTGGAAATAATCTCCGAAAGTTCCTAATAACCACGAGAGAGTTGACGGTAAGTATTTGGAAAGAAACGATGTGAAAATGATGAAGGAACATAGCCAACCCGAGGAACTCTCCACCACTGGAGCAGTCCCGGTATTTTGGCCATATCTCCTTCGTTACTTAACGAAATCACGAACCGTTTGTTGGGTTGGATTCGTAACGTCCGGGGCTATGATTTTGGTGTAATAAATATTTTGAGAAAATGAATGGAAAAATTCAGAATTGACTCACAAGTGGACTGATTGTTTTATGCTCGGAATTTTGGAAAGCCTTAGTACTTCTTCTTGCTCCTTCTTCTTCCTTTGGCACAAAAATGGAGTTTGAGTCTCCTAATCTTTTCCTTGCAGAGACAGCCGACAGAGAGAGAGAGTGAAGAGAGATTGATTGTGTTGTGAAGGCAAACTTTGACAAAATAGAAAAGTATTTGGAGTATTATATTGAGAAGTTTTGGAATTATGGTGTAGTGGAGGTGTGAGTGGATTTGGTGGCTTGATTGAGGATTTGAAGGGATTGGGCTGCGTAATTGGAGATTTTGGGGAATAAAAATTATTCTCCTACTCTGTAACTGATAAACTGGTTAAACGGTACGCGCTTTTTTGCCCAAACTGTTCCGTTTTGAAAACGGATCGCATATTTCGAATCAGACTGTTAAAACTAAAATTTTGATATAATTAAAATATTTTTCTGAAAACTTTTATTTTTCAGTGTTCGGGTCTGTCTCAGTTATTAATTAATATTTAAATTAACTAATTCTTTTAGGCCTAATTTCGGGGCGTTACATGCTCAATTTGTGAGTTATTCATCTAGTTTTGTTTTCGTGTTCTTGCAAACTTGATGATTCATCTTTAAGTTTGTGTTGGCTAAGACTTGTGTGACTAAAGTTATGTTGTAAAGTGTTGAGGCTTGTAGGATTGAAGTTCTCAAGTTGTAAAATATTTTTTCAAGTACTTGTTGAAGCTTGAAAGTTAGTAGGACTTTTGAGAGAGTCTCTCAGAGGACTGGATTAGCCATGCGCGGTGTTGTTCTTGCTCTCTACATTTTACATATATCATGCATTTTTATTTTCGTTTATCACACACACAAAAACGCTTATTCTAGACTTTAACTCTTTTCACCCCCCTCTAGAGTTGTGCATATCGACTAACAATTGGTATTTCATCTTTTTTTTTCATTCAAAATTCAAAAATTGAATTAAGAACATAATTGAGGTAAGTGAACCATCCTTTCAAGACATTCTATCATGGGGGACAAGGGATAATTGTGTTTGACCGATTATCCTCGTTCAGATGTTCATTGATATCTTGTCTATGAAAGATTTGCTCCAAAAATCGATTTTCATTTGCAAAAATTGATTTTTTTGCTTTGCCTCAAAACGGTCCGAAACTAGTGATAGAAAATTGATTTTCTGTCTTTAGAAAATTGATATTTTTTCCTGTGTTGCACACACAAGTCCTTTTCTTGGTGTAATAGACATATTCTCTTTTTCCCTTTATAAACCCTCATCTACCTTCATTCTAAGTATCCCAAGCACTCGTATTTCATCCTTCATTCCTTTACCTCTTGCTTTATCAATATTCGCCAAAAATCAATACTTTTGAGAGTATTGAAATCATTTTTGAGTGCAAATACTTTGTCATCCATTAGAGCTTACATCTTTAAACACTTACTTTCTCAATTTGTGAGTTATTCGTCTAGTTTTTTTCTCGTGTTCTTGCAAACATGAAAAAGCATCTTGAAGTTTGCGTTGGCTAAGACTTGTGTGACTTAAGTCTTTTTGTAAAGTGTTGAGGTTTGTGGTATTCAAGTTCTCAAGTTGTAAACAGTTTTTTTCGAGCACCCGTTGAAGTTTGAGAGCTAGTGGGACCTTTGAGAGAGTCTCTCGGAGTACTGGATTAGCCAGAAGGTGGTGAACCACTATACGTCACGGTGTTTTTCATCCTCTCTACTCTTTACTTTTATCCTTTTTTTATTTTTGTTTATCACGCCTGCAAAAAACGCTCATTTTCAAACTTCAACTCTATTCACCCTCCTTTAGAGTTGTGCTTATCAACTAACAAAAAGGTGGACAAAGAGCAGAGCCTGTTGAAGAGATAAAAGAGGTGGTGTTTGATCTAGCGATACCTGAAAGGAAGGTGAAGATAAGGGGGACCCTACACGAAGATTTGAAGGCCCATATGATAGCCGTCCTCATTTCCTTCAAACTTTTGTTTGCCTGGCCCTGGAGACATGTCAGGGGTTGACCCACACATTATCTATCACAAGTTGGCACTTGACCCAGACCACGAGCCGATCAAGTAGAAAAATGGTTCCTATCCTCAGAGAGGAGGGAACTTATTGCCAAGGAAGTGAACACCCTACAGTCCTTTTGACATGTTCAGAAGGTAAAATACCCTGAATAGTTGGCTAATGTAGTTTTGGCAGCCAAAGGGAACTCATGGAGGATGTGCATGGACTACTCTTATTTGAATAGAGCTTGTCCGATGGACCCATTTCCATTGCTGAATATCGATCAATTCATGGATGAGACTGTACTAAAGTATTGTTCAGGTTTTGATAGGTTTTGATAAACGCCAAACCACCGTAAATACAAAAAGACGTTGAACAAACTCAAGGTGAAGAACATGGCATAGTGATCAAGTGGGAGCAAGAACCAAGAACAAAGACAAAGACTTAGAAATAGATGAGTTGGTCTTAATGTGATCGAGACTGGCATTGACTTCATAGATCTTGGGTCTCTAAGTTAAACTCATTAAAATGTTTTTCATGCATCTTTAAAACCCTTTTCCTAAAGTTTTTATAATCCATAAAAACTTGGCATTCGTTCAAACCAAAAACCACGATATTTGGCGTTCGGCTAAGAGGTCGTGTTCGGCTTTCAGAAATTGGCGTTCGGTTTTCGGTTATCAGTGTTGGTTTTTGGCGTCCGAACCAACCAAATGTTTTTTAATCTTTTATGATTGGTTTTTACTTCTGGGCACATTTAAATAGTTTTCCAACAAAAACATATTAAAAACTACCTTTCGTTTTTTGTCTTTTGATACATGTGGAAGTTTGATATCATAAAAGGTTTAGACTTTTTCTTTTAAAAAAATTATTCACATATCAATCTATGAAAAATGTAAGAAAATCCTCAATAACACATTATTGAATCTAACAAAGTTTGCCTTAGGCACCAAGAATTCTGCAAGAGATAAATAGCGCAGGGGTACACTTAGGCACAAAATTCTGCAAGATACGGAGTAATTCACACGGCGTAATGAACTCCTTATATAGCGAGTGAAGGGTTTCAGGTCCAAAATTTGCGAAGCTTACGGCCACGTAGTGCGGCCACATCTTTTCCTTTCCATGTTCTGTTCACTCTTCAACGCTCCGATCGCGCTGCGCTTTGGTGAATTCCTATAAATTCTTGGGATAAGTCTCGCCCAATCGCTTTTTGTATCACATATTTCCGTTTTACGGAACGCTATCTAAGCAGATTCGTGACCGGCGCTATGGAATCCTCTATTGTGATCAAGGTTTGGGTTTTTCCTATTATGCCTTAATATCTCGTTTTGCTATATCACTGCATGTTTATTTGACTGGTCCGTGGGCTGTTGATTTGGTCTTCACCAATCTTAGTTTTGTTATCCTTTGAGTACTAAACGAACTCAAGCTACCCCAATTAGATTCTGGGGTTCTGACCTTTAAGATCTTAGTTCGGAGAATTTCAGAATTTTCAGTCCTGAGCTTCATTTGGGGATCATCCTTATGGGTTTTGCCAATATTCAAATGTTCTTGGTTCATTATTTAGCGTTGCTCTATCTGTTGTAATGATGTTTTGATACTCCTTTTGTGGTTGTTAACTGCCATGTGTTTTCTAAAGTATTTAATTTTGGTAACTAATTTTAATCCATTTATTGACACTAAATATTATTTCATCTAATCAAACATGGTTGACATCCCTTCTGTATGCTGAGTTGCTGACATTACAGGGATGGTGATGTTGAGTTTATATCTCTAAATTATACGTATATTTTTGGGCCTCTAGGTTTCTATGTAAGTAATAAACTAAAAGTAAGAACTATGTTTTACTAAGATGCTTAATTCACCAACATAGTGTAACATATACTCTGTAATTATTTATAGTTGAGCTGCGGGACACATAGAGTAACATGAGGTTTAGTGGACGGGCTGTTTGAAGATAAATTCTCCTTATTTTGTATTAAGGTTTTAATATTTCCAAAGTCGTGAAATAGTGTTTGAACATTGAAGGAGGCAAAAGTTCACCTCCTTTGAGATTTGTTGTAGCACCACTTGCAACAAAAAAGTGCTATATCCCAAGAGGCTTATATACCTTTTAAATTTTGTCCTAAATCAAGGGGCTTTGTACATTTGTGCTTACTCCATCATATATATCCTTCAAGAGGTGTATACACTTTTGCACTCTGTCATATGCTTTCTCGAAATCAATATATATCATGTGCAAGTTCACCAAGTTGTCTTTTCCATGTTATACTTTTTCAATCTATGTTCAATAACTCTTCTCCATAGTTTCATAGTATGGGTTCATGAGCTTAATTTCGAGGTAGCTTGAATAGTCTTGCACTCTTGCACATCAACTTTTTCTGTATAAAGGGATACTATTAATTTTTTTAATGCACTTTTTTTACACCCGTGTTACAAAAACATACTCCCTCCGTTGTGCGATGAAGGTTAAGATTTGTCATTTGATTTTGTGAAAGTTAAAAAAAAGTATCAAAAAGTGAAAAGTGCATCTTTAGATTTTTTATAGAGAGGAATGTTATTAGCCACATATTTCTTTCTCACAAAAGAAATGGGAAGAGGGGTAAAGTTTATTTTTTGACAAATGAAAAAGGAAAGTCAAAAGTGTAAACATCATCGTGGGAGAGAAAATTGCATCGATATGTTCCTAGTTTGATTTGGTTCACTTTTTAGTATGGTAGAAATTGTAGATGGAATTTGTTTGGGAGAGAGAGAGAGAGAGAGAGAGAGAGAGAGAGAGAGAGAGAGAGAGAGAGAGAGAGAGAGAGAGAGAGAGAAGATGAACCATATAAACTTTTTCTGGAAAAGGAAAGCCGAACAAAATTTTGGGATTCCAAATAGGAAAGGAGGAACAAAATAATGGCACGGAGGGAGTATATATGTATTCTATGATGTGGAAAATATCTACCGACTGTGAAATTGTAAATTTTAAAATCTTTTAAATACAGCGGGCCTGAATACAAAAGCCAACAATGGCCATTAGTTTATTATTTAATATTTCAAAGCATTAATGGGCGTGTTTGGGAATAGCATTAGAGATTAGCGTTAGCGTTTTGGATAAAATTTTAACGGTGCAGATTACTTTGAAAACGCTAAAGCTAAACGCTACGTGTAGATAGCCTTTTCAAAACGCTAACGCTATTCCCAAACAGACCCGATATCCTCTGAATTCTATGTATGAATAAGTAGGACCAGAGTTGCTGTTACTACTAGTACTACACTATTCAGTATTCACAAAATTCATGTATCCATTTTTTTGCTTGTGTGTCTGAATCCCATAATATTAATATTATAAAAAAAATTAATTTTTTAGGATTTGAAAGTAAAGTGATTATTCCCTTCGTCCCCATTTGTTGTGTGTATTTCGATTTATTGTGCCGATTTTCTTTTGTTCAAAGGCATTATGTGGTTCCTAGTGTTTTTCTCTCTCTGCTTCAATGTCAACCACATAAGTTTCACTTCATTAGTTCTCGTGTTTAGTTTAAACTGGGCACACATAATTGGAACAAAAGGAGTATTTTATTACAGTTACTTATTGGCATGATCTAGGGTTAGAGGGCTGCTAAACTGAATTAGTTGGGACTAAGACTCTTAGGATTAGGTTTAGGGTTACAACTACATACGATATTCTCCCTCAAGTAACATGTATTTATTTCAGAACTGAGCAATGCGAACCCCATTTGGTTTTGTGAGAAATAAATTTCATACATGTACTTATCAAATAGTGTTGGACCAATCTTGACATTCAGTAATAGTTAGGGGGTTTATTTTGTAATTATGTTGAAGTCTTTATTTGTTAATAATTAGGGTAGAGTCAGTCATAATTTTAGGAGATATATATCAGATGGATTTGAGATTACCATAGCTTGTAGGAGTAAGAGATGTTATGCTTGGAGAGCAAGGCTGATGATTTAACTTGGTGGACAAGGTTAACTCATCTATAAATAGGGATAGTTTCTCTGTATTTTATGCATTCAAAGTTTTTCAATTAATTGGAGAAGGATTTCCAATAAGTTCTTGTTCTAGATTTCTGTTTTCTGTTTATCGAGATCTGGTACCAATAACTTCAATTGGTATCAGAGCTGAGTTCGAAGGGCCTGAAACTCTCCTGATCCAAAAGGGCTGGATCAATTACCAGATCCGAAGACAGGGCAGAAGTACAAGCGTTGATCTAAGAACAATACGATGGCTGATGCCAACAACCAGGTTGCGGTAATCAAGGATAACAACAAGCTTCCATTCCAGTGTCCGATCCTAACCGCGACTAATTATCCCATCTGGTCGCTTAGGATCAAAGCAATTTTCAAGGCGTACGAAATCTAGGAATCGATTGATCCTGGAACAGATGACGATCGGAAAAAGGATAATTCCGCTATCGCATATTTGTACCAGGCGTTGCCAGAGGGTTTGATTCTTCAAATCGCAGATTGCACCCACGCAAAGGAAATCTGGGATGCAATTAAGACTCGTCATCTTGGAGTTGAACGAGTAATGGAGGCTAGACTTCAGACTCTTAAAGCTGAGTTTGAAGCAGCAAGGATGAAAGACAGCGAAAAAATTGATGATTTTGCTGCAAAACTTTCTGGAATTGCCTCAAAATCAGCAACACTTGGAACCGTCATCGAGGAAACCACGTTGGTCAGAAAAATATT